AATGGTGGAGTTCCCTTTAAAATCTTAAATGATTCCCTTTGAGTAAATTATTGACCTGTTTCACTTACAAGACGATTCAGTCAAAACCTCAAAAATCTTTAATTTGAATGACACAAGTGCTTTCAACTGCAAAATATGTATATTATCATTATTTATTATTATTATGAATTTTAGATTAGATTATAGAAATAGCAATATTTTGGAGCCCTTAACCCCACTCCTACCCCAACCATAAATGTTCTAGATAGAAACAGATCGAAATGTAAGTTATTACTGACTGAAAACCTGAAATATTCCCCTCTGCCATGGTTATATCCCACACAGTTATACAACCTTGAAAAAAAAATCACCTTTGCATTGTGCACTCTGAGTTTACTGACCGGTTGAAGAGCAAATATTTAATAATATGAGCCTGAACCACCATCTGAATAGCACAGGCTCCTCCCTGCAAGAGAACAGAAAGAGAAAACACTGTTTGGGCTCACTTTTGTCATGCATTTCTCTGACAAATTCCACATCATAATTTCCTTTAACTGTAATTGCCATTTCAGAATGTAGGACTTCCATGTTAATGATGAAACACAACAAATATAAATTGATTGATCCAAAAGTTATAATTAAAACGGTGTGTACCAGCTTTTGTGTATTTAAAGGGACCGTTCAGACAAAAAAAAATTAATCAGAGGCTTAAATCACAGAATGTTCATTTTTGGCAGAACGAACACAGAGCTGTTTTCAACATTGTTTATAATAAGAAATATGTCTTTAGTAACAAATCACCATATTAGAATGATTTCTGGAGGATCAAGTGACACTGAAGACACTAGAACCAAATGTCTTGGTTACTACTGTAACCTTCTGATGGAGTGACATTAGGGCGATTGGGAACCCCAAACACGTTCAGAGAATTTGCATGCCACTCACCCATATTGTACATACGGGTATAAAAGGTGATGCCGTGCTCCACTCATTTAGGTTTGTGCTGAGGAGCCAAGACAGTGTCCCAGTCATTTCAGCGGGTTGTTCAGTGTTGTGACGGGAGGGACACAACAACTCATTCCCTCCATCAGAGAACAGAGGTTACAATAGTAACCAAGACATTCCCTATCTGTCACTCACTTGATATTGTGTCAATATAGCTGACTGCAGCTATAAGCAAAATTCCGAGCCCACCAATCCAAATCAATCGTCTAACCATGGATACTTGGGACAGGGTGGAGGGATCCACTCAGAGCTGCTTCAGCATGGGCCCGGTCCCAAAAACTGATGCAGCCATCGTGGACATCTGCGGGAGCGAGGTGTCAACTGCATCCAGGAATACACTGACGGAATTACATCTTTAAAAATATGTTTTCTATGGTGTTGCTCTTAGAGGAAATTTCTCTTTTATGGAGAAACTCTCTTTTTGTTCTCTTATGGAAATCTCTCTTTTAGTAGCTCATTGAAGCACCCAGGGGAACTATGCCATACAGGAATTCAACAAAGTTTCTAGGCAGAGGTGAATAGAGAGAATCACATACACATCTTCTTGACTCCAAAAAACTAATTTGAATGAGTGGAGCAAGCCATCTCTTTTCAGACTCTATGTCCAGGGGAGTGACATGCAAATTCCACTTGCCAAATCGCATTGGCCCTTTCTAAAGTATCAGAGGTGTTTGGGGCTCCCAAATGCGACCCCTGGTGTCACTACATTGACATTGAGTGACAGATAGGGAACCAAATTATTGAACCAAACTGAATAATGATTATTTACTATTGACTTTCTAGAGCTGCTTTAAAGCAGAATTACATTTTTTGAATCACTCAATCATTTTCCTGTTTATCACTGTAAATCTGCTTTGAAACAATCTGTATTATATAAAGTTCAATATAAGTAAAGGTGACTCGACTAGAGAACAGTTGTTTTAAATTGTAATAACATTTCACAATATTACTGTTTTTACTGTATTTGTGATCAAATAAATCCAGCCTTGGTGAGCATAAGTGTCCAAACTTTTTGGTAGTGTATGAGTTTTAATGGTATCCAGCACTGAGTGTTTAGTTTATGAACTATTCATAAGCCATTCAAGACAGATACATAAATGTTGTTATTATTTGAGTGGAAATCATTTGGTGGAAAAAGTTCACCTTGAATCAGTATCTTGAGTGCTCTTAATATAATTGTGCGTTCTTATAGTAGCCTAATGTCAGTGTAATCTGCTAATGACATGCCCCTCACTTCACTTCCTGAGGATAATGGGAAGCATATTTACTTAGCTGCCTTAGTTTAAGCATGCCAATGATCTGTGGTTAAGAAAACGGCCAACATTTCAAGCTCATTATGAAATAATGTGGTGGCGGGTAGTGATGCAAAGTTCAAACAATAGTGTCGGGCTAATCAATCCGAAGTCACGCCTTCTCCATGAAAAAGACATACGAGAAGTGATCTACTAAAGTTTGTAACAAAATCCTTCTTCACTTATTTAACTTGCAGTTCTGGCAAAGGGGAAGTAACTTTGTTAACGTGATCACACATAAGGTCAACCGTCTCCAGTTTGGGCTTTACTAGTATTTTTTGTAAGAATTTTTCCAGTTCCACTTACAGCAGCTATTTTAAGAACTGTTAAATCTGTTTAAGCGTCAAATAAGAATACAATAACAAATCAGATTGACTCATTTTAAGGTAATTCACCCCAAAAAGTTATTACGATGTATCAGTTTTAAATTAAAGATGTGAATGTGGGCTAGTCTGTCATTTCATGCTCTATGGGAAATAACATGTGGTTCTGAAATGACAAAGGTGAGTGAATAATGACAAAACTTTCATTTTTGAGTGAGCTATGCCTTCAATTCCAGAATGCACAAGCATAATGATGACACATCTGACAAGCATTCTGACCTTCATAGTACCACTGACTCAGAAAAACCGCATTTCTGAATCATCATGTGGTTTTTATTTTGTTGTCAGTCCTTCCTAGCCTATGTTCTTCGTTAGCAGTTAAAAGGTCACAACCACCATAGTTTCTATGATGAAGCTCAAACAAATAATACCAGTTCTGTAATTAATTTCAAAGATGATTTTTATAATCTTTTTTTTTTATATAAAATTAATGAGTTATTATAATTGAATGTATAATAGTATGGAGCACTGTACATGCCACAATTGGCTATGATTTCAATAAATTAAAATGAAGGGAAAAAATAGTACAATGTGGCTACAGTTTTACTTTTTTTTAATAAACTTGAACAAGTTAACAAGTCATGGGAATGAGTTCTTAATTTGTGGCAACACCTATTTTTGTCCCTCCTCGTGGCATGTGCCACAATCCCATGTGTTTTCCTGTGTCTGTGTCTTCATTGTTGCTCTGTTCTCCTTGTTTGTTGCTATGGACACTCATTGAACCACACCCATCTCCTTGTTCGTTCCTATGATTGCTAATTAGTTCATTGCCTCTGCTCTGTATATATAGCCCTTGTGTTTCCCCTGTTCTTTGCCTGTTGTTGATTGTAATGGTTGCTGTTTCTGCTTGTGTTTTGTTGCTTGGTTTGCCTCAGATTTCTTCATTAAACAACCTACACTTAGATCATTGCTTCTGCCCATTTTTTTCAGTATATTAGTGCATATTTATCACCAAACATGCCTTTAACCATTTTAACCATAGATGTTTTGTGTTTGTTTTACATTTGTTTAGATATACACATTCCCTTCACTTATGCATCAAAGAGAACGGTGCACATTTGTCTCTTCATTAAGTAATTTATGTGAATTTTCAAACTCAAATGTTTTAAAGAAATGTTACAATGTCCTATCAGTTTCAAGGGTTTATACCCAAAACTATGACAATAAGCAATGACTTATAATGACAGATATGAGAAGTTCTCTCATACTCACCACCCTCTCAGTCTCCAGAGCATATGCCATGTCAGAGAAAGGCTCCCGAAACTTGAAGAATGATTTCTTCCACTCATAGTTGAATATATGGAAGGTGTTCCCAAACAAAATATTTCTTAAACTCTGTATGAGAGACAAAGCTAAATGAAATGTCAAAATAATACTACTAATAATAAATCAAGTATATATGTGACCCTGGACCACAAAATCAGTAATAAGGGTCCATTTTAAATTGAGATTTATGAATAAATAAGCTTTTCATTGATGTATGGTTTGTTAGGATAGGACAGTATTTGGTCGAGATACAACTATTTGAAAATGTGGAATCTGAGGGTGCAAAAAAATCTAAATATTGAAAAAAATTGCCTTTAAAGTTGTCCAAATTAAGTTCTTAGCAATGCATATTACTAATGAGAATACCTTTTTGATATTTTTATTGTAGGAAATTTACAAAATATCTTCATGGATGATCTTTACTTAATATCTGTTACGGAGAAGGCTCCCGTACCACCTCCTCCGCACCACCAGAGGGAACTGTCCCCAGAGTATTAGCGATCTTCCATTCGGACTCCATTTCCCATCATCCAGAGCTTGAGCTTCTGGAGAAAAACAAAATGGAATAGATTTATGAAATAGACTTAGTGGCTTTTATATAACAACATTTTTTTGTAATAAAAAGCAATAACTGATTAATTTTAAGATTAAAATATATTGTTACGGAGGAGGCTCCCGTACCACCTCCTCCGCACCACCAGAGGGAACTGTCCCCAGAGTATTAGCGATCTTCCATTCGGACTCCATTTCCCATCATCCCTCTTACCTGGGCCTGATTACACAATGGGCCTGATTACACATTTACACACACACATATAAGCCACACACACATATAAGCCACACGCGAAGTCTTGATTTGCCCCGGCTGTCATTTCCGAGTGTTATACCCGTGTTTTGTTTTCTGTGCTTTGATCTTGAACTGTTTCCTGTTTCTCTGATTGTTATCTGCCTGCCCCGACTTGGATTGTTTCACCCGGACTCTGTTCTCTAGCTGCCTGCCCCGATCTCTCGCCTGGTTCTCGATTCTGCCGCTGCCTTGTCTCTACTGTTCTGCCTTGCCGGTATTTGACCCTGTATTGTCTGACGATTCTTAATAAACTGCAAATGGATCCAAACCCTTCTGATGTGTCTCAACAATATCCTAATGATTTTTGGCATAAAAGAAAAATCAATAATTTTGTCCCATACAATGTATTTGGCTATTGCTACAAATATTCCCCAGCGACTTAAGACTGCTTTTTGTGCTCCAGGCTCACAAATAAGTATATAAATCAAGTGATGGAAAAATGAAGTTATTAATTTACGATAAAAATCAACACCCAAGTTCCAGCTAATATCATTGAAATTAAGGTTTATATATATATTTTTAAACATATTAAACATAATTGTTTTTGAAAGAAAATACGAGTGGTGCTTCCATGGAATTAGCAGTAGTTATGACTATATGAGACTAAGTTGATCTAATGCTTAAAGTCCTAATAAATAAATTATGAGTCAATATCCTGTCTTTTGTCTTCGGGACACATATAGACACACAGCACAAGTCTGTTATGAGACACATGGGAGGCAAGAGAGCAGAGGGTCAAGTGACAGGGTCATGTTCCACGACTCACCACCGCCAGCTCTGGTGACAGCGGTTGCCCACCCAGACTCAGAGACACTGTGAGGGTTCGAGGAATGGAGTAGGGCGCTGTGAACTGCTCGTTCTGTGAGCTGATGTGATGGGCCGAGGTGGCCGGCCTAGAAGAGTCATCACTGTCCTCTTCAGATTTGATCTTCTCATTAGGTCTCTATGCAAGTGATAAAGGGAAAATGTGCAGTTGTTACAGCATACCTTCTACCTTACTCTTAAAATTACTTTTATTAAATAACCGTGAAACATATTTTTTTTAGGCTGCCTGACAAAACATTGCATATGGGACCTTAGTTTTTTTTTCTCTCTCTCTCCAATCAACAAACTACCTGTCAGAAATTTTTAATAACTAAGAAATTTGAATGCTTATAAAATAAGTCTCTAATGCTCAACAAGAATGCATTAATTTGACAACAATATAGTTAAAACAGTAATATTGTAAAACGATGTTAAATTCAAAAGAACTGTTTTCTGTTTTACTGTACTTTAAAACGTTACAAAAATCTGTTTTAAAAAAATTATTAATTACTTTACTGTCACTTTTCATCACTTTTTTTATTTTATGTGCAATCAATCAATCAATCAATCAATCAATCTTACCCTAAGCTTACCAGTTTCTACATAATAATAATAAAAAAAAGGTTTCTTGAACACCAAAATCAGCATATATAAAGACTGGAATAATGGCTGCTGAAAATTCAGCTTTGCCAACACAGGAATAAATGCTAATTTACTAATAATTTATTAAGACATAAAAATTGTTATTTTAAATTGCAATAATATTTTGCAAATATTACTGTTTTTATTGTCTTTTTGATCAAATAAATGTAGCATAAGTGAGTATAAAAGATTTCTTTCAAAGAAATTTTAAAATCTTAATTATTCCAAACTTTTGACCTGAAGTGTATTTATATGTTATAGTACATTATTGGTTTCATTTTATGTTTACACATTCGAAGGAGAACCCTACACAGATGTGGAATAACATGTTTTCTTTTGTCTTTCTTTTTGTGCTTAAAATCTCACTTTTTATCCAATAATAATCAACATTGTTTTGGTTATCAAATTAGCCCTAGATCTAACCTTAGCCCTTTTTTTATATAAATGTAAAATTTTCAAACATGACTTATAAATATTACTTGTATATTTCTATCTTTCTTCCTGTAGTCTCTTTCTCAACCTCTACAACTCGTCAAACACAGAAATCCTAAAGCACAGTTATTAATCTTATGAATATGACGTTGCCAGGCTTGAGTTGAATGAGCCATCAGCAGATAACTCACATCTTGGTTTCTCTTCACCTCCTCTTGAAGAAGCTCTATGTAGCTCAGTCTGGAGTGCTGCAAACTCTTGATGGTATGCAGAAGGTCCTGATTATTAGTCATGACGGCCTTTACATGCACTCTATTATTGCATGTAAATTCGGTTTCACACATGGCATTAGCAAAATGCCTAGTAAAATGACTTCCAGGGAATGTGGTAGCAAACACACACCTCTCTTCCAGTCTGTGATACGGAGTTTGTTGAGAGGATTGCAGCCACGCAGACACACACATACTCTCATCTGATTGGCTGACTGCATGAAATTACATACAGCCACCTGAGAGCACAGTGTCTGAAGTATCAACGATTATCGAAATACAGGTGCATCTCAATAAATTAGAATGTCGTGGAAAAGTTCATTTATTTCAGTAATTCAACTCAAACTGTGAAACTTGTGTATTAAATAAATTCAATGCAACAAATTCTCAAAATCTCAACAAATTAAAATACTTCATAAGACCAATAAAAAAACATTTTTAGTCAATTGTTGGCCTTCTGGAAAGTATGTTCATTTACTGTACATGTACTCAATACTTGGTAGGGGCTCATTTTGCTTTAATTACTGCCTCAATTCGGCGTGGCATGGAGGTGATCAGTCTGTGGCACTGCTGAGGTGGTATGGAAGCCCAGGTTTCTTTGACAGTGACCTTCAGCTCATCTGCATTTGTTGGTCTCTTGTTTCTCATTTTCCTCTTGACAATACCTCATAGATTCTCTATGGGGTCCAGGTCTGGTGAGTTTACTGGGCAGTCAAGCACACCAACACCATGGTAATTTAACCAACTTTTGGTGCTTTTGGCAGTGTGGGCAGGTGCCAAATCCTGCTGGAAAATGAAATCAGCATCTTCAAAAAGCTGGTCAGCAGAAGGAAGCATGAAGTGCTCCAGAATTTCTTGGTAAACGGGTGCAGTGACGTTGGTTTTCAAAAAACACAATGGACCAACACCAGCAGATGACATTGCACCCCAAATCATCACAGACTGTGGAAACGTAACACTGGACTTCAAGCAACTTGGGCTATGAGCTATATATATATATATAATTAAAAAAAACAATTTTTTTGACTGCCATACGAACAGTACCTGTGGGTTAATGCATAAAAACTCTTCAAAATGATCTTCTTGTGTTTCAGAGAAGGACAATCAAAAATCATACCCATTTGGAACGACGTGAGGGTGCATACAATAATACAATTTTGTCGTTTTGAGCTGAACTACTCTAGCAACCGTTTTGCTTTCTCTACAAAACACTTCGCTCGTGAAGCATCCCGTGTCGATGTCTAAATTAGAAATAGAAAACATTAAGCAATCCAAATAAAAACAATAAAAATAAAACCGATTAAGACTTACTTTAAGATAGTCCTGTGGTAATTCCAACCTGTAAGGTAAAAACAGGTGAAGTAAACATGAAGGCTAGCTGGGCAGCAGAAGCAGACAGCAGTGCGCGCGTACCCGCGGGAGTTAAATATCTCTCTCCATTTATCCAATTCCACGATCTGCTGGAGGATTTCATCTATTTCAGTGCTCGCCTCCACATCAGCGTCCATCTGCAGGTCACAGGAAACATCACACCAGCGTTTAGTTGGAGTCCCAGCTTTCCTGCCTGGTGTTCAGTAGGACAGTACAGCTCCCCCGGGGACACAAAACAAAAGAATAGATGAGTGACACAAGCGCCTTGTTGCTTAGGTTTGCGTGCAGACAGGACGCATTCTGCCGTTTTTCTTTGAGCGTCGTGTTTTTTTGTTTTTTTTTAAATAACAATAGGGGAATACAAGTCGTACAAAAATACACGAGTCTATAAAACAGTACACCTGAGCTCTGTTGAGTTCGTTACTTTGCGCTCAGTCCAGCTGCTTTTGAACGTGAGAATGCATCCTGCGTGAGCACCTTACACATGAACACATGAATGGAATCATAATGTAGCTACATTTATGGTCAGGAAATTTAAAAGTAGTAGTTTTAAACATTATTTGAAAATGTGAATTAAGCAAGTTGTGGGAGGCCTATTTAGAGACAAGGTTTTGCGTAAATAAACGAAATAAAATGATTCAACATCCTATTATTCTGTACAGTACCATTCTAAAACAAGCAGGCAATGAGTCACAGTGAATATATGAATCATTACAAAGAATCCCTCTGTGCATTAGTGCAGAATGTTATGGTTGTTTCAGATTATCTTGTTATGGCCTATAATGAAAGGTTATTCAAGTCATAGTACAATTGATAAATCAACATAATAGCATTTTTAATTAACATCGTTATGTAATGTTTGTGAATTAAGCAAGTTGTGGGAGGCCTATTTAGAGACAAGGTTTTGCGTAAATAAACGAAATAAAATGATTCAACATCCTATTATTCTGTACAGTACCATTCTAAAACAAGCAGGCAATGAGTCACAGTGAATATATGAATCATTACAAAGAATCCCTCTGTGCATTAGTGCAGAATGTTATGGTTGTTTCAGATTATCTTGTTATGGCCTATAATGAAAGGTTATTCAAGTCATAGTACAATTGATAAATCAACATAATAGCATTTTTAATTAACATCGTTATGTAATGTGTGAATGGTCATTGAGCTCTGCTTTCATGAAAACATTCAGGTTTTTTTTTTCATCTCTCTCACACACTATTCTCAATGAATAACCTAATATCTTCCCTGAACAACTGTACTACTGCAACCAAAAGTTTGGCATAAGTGGAGAGGAGTTAGTTGGTTGGTTAGTTAGTGATTGATGTTGACTGCTTTACAATGGATTTATTAGTGAAATGTATATGAACTAAAACTGTAGTTCTAAGATATACAAGGTTTATTTACTAATAGCATATAATACTAATTCTGTCAGGACCACTATCGTCAGAATGATAGATACTTAGCATAAAGTTTGGTTTGGCGGTATGGTTCTGTTCTGGGCAATAACCTCCCTGCCCATCCATGCAGCCTGTCATGAATGAGCAGGGAGAGCAGCAATAATAACGCCCCCAGGGTTAACAGAACAGAACAAGGCAGATATCATTAATGTACTCAATGATATTTAAGTGTAACACTTTATTCAAGATAAAGGAGTCTGATTAGCAAGGAATATCAGAAAGCTAAGTCCTGACTGTGGCGAAAGGTGGAGCTGGGGATGGAGGAGGGTAATTTGCTCCGAAGCAAGCTGAAAAGCTGCTGAATAATACTGAATACAGCTTATATAGGAATGCCGCGATAGGTGTCGTATTCCTATAGGTAGATGTGATCAACTGAGCATCAGCTGATGCAAGCTTGACTCACGTGACCTGCCAGAACTAACGCTAAAGCTTAATTTTTTCAAGTATTATAAAATGCCATAAGAAACCATTTTTGACAGAACTTCTTTTTATATTAAATTACAAAATAATTAAAATAATAGCAGTTGAATTTAATAGTTCAAGCTCTGTTATTAATTGTAACCTTTAAAATTATAGTGATGTGCAAGTAATAGCATTCCCTATAACGTTTAAGGCATTAGCAGAGATATAACTTTTATCCTTAAGAAATGTTTGATTATAATTTAATTTACTTAAAGACAGAGCCACAATTTGTTCAGTAAGCCAGTGGTTCCCAACCCTGGTCCTTGAGGCACCCCAACACTGCACATTTTGCATGTCTCCTTTCTCTGACGCTCCAATTTCAGGTGTTGGAGTCTCTACTAATGAGATGATGACCTGAATCAGGTGTGTTTGATTAAGGAGACATGCAAAACGTGCAGTGCTGGGGTGCCTCCAGGACCAGGGTTGGGAACCACTGCAGTAAACCACTCTTAAAAAAAAAAGAAAATAAATTTGTTTAGATTTTTCCTCCTGCTTTACCAAAAAAATGTATATACAGAGCAAGTGTGTAAAACATAGAAATTCACAAAGCTTAGTCTTTACCAAATCATCCACTTGCTCTTTGGTTACAGTGCCATCTACTGATGCATTGTTGATGATATAGTGCAGGGGTTTCTCAACTCTGGCCCTCGAGGTCCATTTTCCTGCAGGGTTTAGCTCCAGCTCTAATCAAGCACACCTGAACAAGCTCATCAAGGTCTGCAGGATCACTAGAAAGTTAGAGGCAGGTGAGTTTGATCAAGATTGGAGCTAAACTCTGCAGGAAAGTGGATCTCGAGGACCAGAGATGAGAACCTCAGCGATGGCATCTTCTACATGACAAGGGTTACAACCTCTAAGCCGTGTCACAGATTTCAATAACAAAACCACAAGTGCAGAAGGGAACATGCATTTTGCATTTGGAGGATTAAATGCATATCAAATGTTAACAAAAAGACAACATGCAAATGCTGACATATCATGAACATTTTCTGATTAACCAACAATCAAGACAAATATGACTGTACGCTCTATTTGGTTCTGTGCTCGGGAAATGTATAAAAAGATTACGGGGTCTTGTTTTCGCTTTCCCACGAAATATAATAGCAAATTAATCAGGAAAAAAAAAAACTATTTTTTTTGTGAATACTGAAATATTGGAATATTTGTAAGAAATTATGTAGTTATAAGAGAAGAATCATTCTGAAGTTCAGTATAAAATCTAATTCATGGCTGAATCTGTACTGTTCAACCAATACAATTGAATTGCAGTTTTCAAAACAACTTTGAATAGAATGTTGAGCTGTTTATTATGCTTTGCTTTAATTCAGATTAAAGTAAAGATTTGATTTCATGTATCATTTATTTATTTTTACAGACTCTGAATCACTTTTAAATGGAATCAACCTAAACCTGTCGCATAATCACAAAAAGAAAAGCCATACCTTCTTTATCTCTTCTTTAGAAATGAGTATCAGACGGCATAGCTGCAGGTTCAGGTGAGAATCCTTAAAACTCTGTTTAAAGTTCAAACCTCAGTGTGAACCAGGTCACCGAGACATACGTGACAGACTTTATATTCAAGAGGCAGACAGACACACGGCTGCACAACATGACAGAACATCATTTTACAGTTTCCGGGCAGCAGGTGGAGTACTTGGTTTCTTTTCTGTTGGTCTGAATTCTGTGCTAACAAAGCAGTGCTCTTTCATTATGTCTGGAGTGATGAGAGCCGCTTTTTTTGTTCCTGGATGCTTGAAACCTCCCAAATACATTCTGTGTCCATAAAATGTACAAACGTTGTACTGTGCTGTCATTTTAGTCTGTTCATACAGTACATATAAAAAGCAATGCGTTATGAAGAAACCGAAACTAGAATAGTACATATTTTATTTTGAGTAAAGACACAGAATTCATAGTGACCAGAAAAGCCCCATAAACAATGATGAAAAATAGGGTGTCAGAATTGATACAGCATGTGTAATACATAATTGCATATTTTTGTATATATATTTTGTATTTCTGGCCCCTCTCATTCTACATCCTAACAATCACAATTCATGAGCATACTGTATGTGCCAAATAACTACACATACAGTACAAGCGTTTTTTATTACTTTTAATTGAATTATTATCTACTCTTATATTTAAGTTTGAAAATTCTCAAGTTGAAAAATCCATTTAAGAATATTTTAGTGTTTAGATACCAAAAACTGGTTTATTAAATGCCATTTTATAGTATGAATAATGTGGCACATTGGCACAGCATGAGTGTATAAACACAAAGAAGACAATATGAAGGATTTATGAAAAAGATGCAAACACAATAAGATTCTAAAATATTAGTTAAACATGGAAAAGTTCATGACGACATTAAATCCATATTGATCTTCCAATAAGTGATAAATCAATAGCAATTGTTACATTTGTCTGATATTCTAAAGCCATGGTTATAGTTGGAGGCATATGCCTGAATGATGGAATGAGATACAACAACATATTTCTTATTTATTTAAATGATATGTAGGCTTATATAAAACCAGAAATCGGAATATTACTATACAGTGGCCCTAAAAATCAAGAACACATAAAATGAATTAATGCTGTTGCATTAGAAAACAAAATAATAAACCAGTGTATCAGTGATATACTATTATGTTTTGTTTGTTAATATTTTGAATTTATTATTATTATAATTTTTTTTTAAATTTCAGTTTGAAAGTTTTGGTCATTTTGTTGTGTTTTTGTCATTATTATTATTATTATTCTCATTTTAACATGTTATAGTTTTAGTTTTTCTAATTTTGGTTATTTTACTACAAACTCAATTAAAATGAGAAATGTTGTTTTAGCAACTAGCTGACAAAAAAATACGTTTTTTTTTTAAATTTAATTTAAGTTCATATTTCGCGTAAACATAAAACCATGTCTGCATTTGTGATCAGAGAAATGACGAACAACAAGTGCTACTCTACATTGCCCAAAACTCACGTTTGAATCATCAGTGGCAAATCCTTTAAATATGAAAACGTACTTACAGGCTGTGAGTCAGCATTATTTGTCAGCATCATAAGGTCAGCATGCGCGCCGAAGAGGAAACAGGGGAACTGAATTCACCGGAACACCGGCATTGCTACTCTCCCAAGTTCAGGAATCTTTCCTCCATAAAATGTGCTGCACACATCGGAATATTTGGGTTGAAGTGTTCTGGAACAGTGTTGTAAATACAACTTAACCACTGATTTCTAGTCGTGTCCTCTTTTGGAAGACCAAACAAAGTAGTTTCGCTTTCACAACGAAACACACAGCGTCTTCACGACATGGCGGCGGCAGCAACAATACTACAGCGAGAATAAAAGTTACGCCTTCTTTCTTTGCATGAACATTTGGGCGGTGTTATGCTAATATTCCCACATAGTGACGTAGACATGTGGGGGCGTGTTAGAACGAGCCGCTTTAGGCAGGCGTGGACGAATCTTAACTTTTATAAAGAATATAAAGGTTTGAGACTTTAGTCTTTGCAACTTTAGGGATCTTATCTATTCATGAACAGCTTCTTAACATGTTTATTTCTACTACATTTGATCTCTTTCTCTTCATCAAACAGCCAGATTAATGAATGGCTTGACACAAACTGTACCGAGGCAGAGCCTTTGGTCTTTTGGCACACCGCCTGATCTATTATAGTTAACTATCAAAATCTGTGTGGCAAAGAAACACTGCAGTGCGGGGAGAATGTATTGTAGTGAAGTGCAGACCACTACCAGTTTATGTGAACATACATAAAAGTTACGCCTTCTTTCTTTGCATGAACATTTGGGCGGTGTTATGCTAATATTCCCACATAGTGACGTAGACATGTGGGGGCGTGTTAGAACGAGCCGCTTTAGGCAGGCGTGGACGAATCTTAACTTTTATAAAGAATATAAAGGTTTGAGACTTTAGTCTTTGCAACTTTAGGGATCTTATCTATTCATGAACAGCTTGTAACACTCCACAGAGAAAGGAAAACTTGAAATCGCATCATATGACCCCTTTAAGGTGCGGTCACATGTACCGCTGTTTGGTGAATTTTTGTGAGCGAGATCTATTCATTTCAAGAGGAATTCATGCGATTAGGAACTTTTTTTGCATGAAGGTGAAGGATTTCCCCATGCAGGTTTCACCACGGCTTCAAGCTGACCAAAGAAAAGCTGCTTGGATTGAAAGTGACTTCTGTCAGTTTTGATAAAGTTACCACACCTTTATGGTATAGTATTGCCTTTTTGGAGCTTTAAAAAATAAATCACCATCCGCTATCATTGTATGGAAGAGAGCAGCCAAGATATTTGACCAAACATCTCCTATTATGCTCCATGGAGGTAAACAAATCAGGTTTGCAAAACACAAGGTGAGTAAATTATGATTTTTTTTTTTTCAGTTGAAATATCCTTTTAATTTATTCATATTTGACCATTTTGGCCAGTGGCAAAAATTATGTTTTTTTTTCTTTTCTTTTTCTGCCATTAAAAGTGGTATAGTCAATAGGCTAAAACTGAACTTTGAAAAAAAATATATATGTACACTACTGTTCAAAAGTTAATATACTTTTTAAGACACAAATCAATACTTTTATTCAGTAAGAATTCATTAAATTGATCAAAGTGACATTATAGTCTTTTTTTATTTTGAATAAATGCTGTTCTTTTGAACTTTCTATTAATCTCTTTGATCCTGAAATAAAATGTATCACAGTTTCCAAGAAAAAAAAAGCACAACTGTTTTCAGCATTGATAATAATAATCGGAAATGTTTCTTGAGCAGCAAATCGGCATATTGTAATGATGCTGAAAATTCAGCTTTGCATTACATGAATGAATTGAATTTGAAAATATATTAAAATAAAAATAAAAAAACAGGTATTTGAAATTGTAATAATATTTCACTATTACTGTTTTGACTATTTTGATCACATACAGTAAATGCTCCCATGAGAGACTTATTTCAAAAACACAAAAAAATCCTAACAACCCAAAACTTCAGAATCAGGGTATCTTCCAATCATTCGTTTTTTTTATTTAATATTGAAATCTGAAAAATGAAAAACGGCACATATTTCGTTTTTCAATTGTTCAAACGAAACGAAAAATCAAGAATCCGTTTTTACATTCGGGGATAGTAAACGAATAAGCAACTTGAATATTCGATCTCTACATGTGGGCGGGAATGAAACGCCCCTCTCCGCTGATTGCTTAACCAAACATTACAACATAATAATAGTCCTAAAAAAAAACTAAAAAACATAATAATAGTCCTCCGCTTCTATTGATTCTTAACATGTTTATTTCTACTACATTTGATCTCTTTCTCTTCATCAAACAGCCAGATTAATGAATGGCTTGACACAAACTGTACCGAGGCAGAGCCTTTGGTCTTTTGGCACACCGCCTGATCTATTATAGTTAACTATCAAAATCTGTGTGGCAAAGAAACACTGCAGTGCGGGGAGAATGTATTGTAGTGAAGTGCAGACCACTACCAGTTTATGTGAACATACAGTCATAACTTTTGTGTTAGACAATACACTGCGTTTTAGACAAAGGAGGAACTTAAATAATATGACAGATATGAAAAGAAATGACTTTGTGTA